CTACTACTACTACTACTACTACTACTACTACTACTACTACTACTACTTACTACCACCACGACGACAACGACGACGACTACTACTACTACTACGACTACGACTACGACTACGGCTCTACTACTACTACTACTACTAGTCTAGTACTAGTCTAAAACTACTACTAGTCTAGTACTACTACTAGTCTAGTACTACTACCAGTCTAGTACTACTGCTACTACTACTACTACTACTAGACTACTACTACTACTACTACTAGTCTACTACTACTACTACTACTAACTACTACTACTACTACTACTACGACTACTACGACTACTACTACTACTATTACTACTACTACTAGTAGTACTACTACTACTACTCCTAGTACCACCACCACCACCACCACGACGACGACTACTACTACTACTCCTGCTACTACTACTACTACTACTAGTACTACTACTACTACTACTACTGCAACCACTACTACTACTACTACTACCACCACTACCGCTACCACTACTACTACTACCATTACCACTACTACTACTACTACAACTACTACTACTACTCCTACTACAACTCCTACTACTAGTACATGGCCGGCCGGCCGCTATGGCCAGCCGGCCGGCCGGCCGCTCCAGGTGCCAGCCGGCCGGCCGGCCGATCAAGGTGCCAGCCGGCCAGCCGGCCGCGGAAGAAATCGCTACTACTACTACTACTACTACTAGTCTATTACTATTACTACTACTACTACTACTCCTGCTACTACTACTACTACTACTACTACTAATACCACTACCACTACTACTACTACTACTACTGCTACTACTACTACTACCACCACCACCACGACGACGACTACTACTACTACTACCACTACTACTACTACTTGGCTTTGGCCAGCCGGCCGGCCGGCTGGTCGCGAAATAGCAGGCCGGGTTGCCCGCGCTGTCCATTTTCCTCCCTGCGACAACTTTTCTACTTTTGATATCTTTTGATGACTTTTCTATTGAAATCTCTACTTTTCTATTGAAATCTCTATTTTGGACGACTTTTCTATTTCTGATCAATGACAGTCAGGTGCAGGAGATCCCAGACATTCCCAGACACTCCTTTGGACACTTGAGAGGGCAAGGAAGACGCCCCTGAAGCACCATTGTTGTCCCTTGCCGACAGCCCCCCGCAGCCTCCAGTGCCTCCTTCGAGATCCATCTTGGACGGGAAGCCTGATCAGCGTGGAGACAGTGAAGGACATCCGCAGATCCCTATCCGAGCCCCAGCCACTCCCACTCCCACAGCTCTAGAGTCGACGCCCTGTGGAACCCTCCAAGAGCCGTTCCAAGTCACCCACATACTGGAAGCCCCTAGGCATATATAGATCATGCATCACTGCTATACCCCCCACCAAAATTTCCCCCCCCAAAAAAAAAAAAATATATATATATATATATTAGTGCTGGGTCACATGCACTTAGGCTCCATCGGTACTTCCAGCCGAAGCGGGGTGCTCATTGAAGTGATCAAAAGAAGCTTTTGAGATGTGGATATCTGACGACCTGGCCGTTCTTTGGATATAGTTCTTGCATACACCTACCTATCTATACAGTCTATTGTAAGTCGATATATTGTGTCAAGCTACGAGTGCCTGAGGAAAGGAGCTGAGTAGCATTTTTTTATTGCATGATAAAATTTAGATTAGACTGTAACTCCACAAGTGTTTGCGAAGGCATTTGTGTGATACATTGTGTGTAGCGAAGGCTCGCGAAGCCTTTGGCGTAGGCTGTTGGATTTCACACAGGCGAAGCCAACTCGCGAAGGCAAACTTAGAGTCTATGAAAGGTTGAATCTGGCGTGTCGGAACCGCGAAAGCATTTCGCGAAGCCTCTGGTGTTGCGCGAAGCCTCGCGAAGCCACCTTCCCACAAATTCTGACCATGCGAAACCTCCAGCGTAGGCAACCCAGCAGTGTATAAGCACTTTACCTTTTCAAAAAAACACGGCTCAGCTCAGGAAAATGTTGAAGGAAAATGGTGACTTTGGGACCATGGAGATCATGATCTCCCAGAAGAGCGTGAAGAGCAACAAGAAAACCCAACTCTGCGGTTGGTATTCCAAAGCCTACCTGGGAAAAAACCGCTGGTTGGACTAAGATAGGGCCTCAGTTTGGAATTGAGAAATTACGTGCATGCATGTTATACATGTTAACAACCTGTGGACCCAGCTACCGCATGCGCGACTAGCCGGCTGAGGCGTATGATCGAGCGCGCATGGGAATGGGCGAAGAAGAACGGCCGTTGACGAGTTAACCCAGTGCACGGGGAAGAGGAAATCAACATTGTGCTTTCGGAAACGTTCCAGTTGGAAATCGACATCGAAGAACACAAGCGTACTGGATCTTTCGAGGTTCAGGCAGGGGGGATACGATATAATTATCGAAGCTTATTCATGGCCTACCCTTCAACCACCACTTCCCAGCTCCACCTGGTGGACAGGATGAGCACGGCACGCTGCTCGAGAGTGACCTGCCAACGATTGGAGGCCCCAGCAGAATCTGCAGGTTCCGGCCAGCTGTCGGGAGAGATGACTGACACGTCCAGTTGTATGTCTTTCAAGTTGCTGTGCTCAAATACCACATGATTTAGATATCATGGTATGCTAAGGCTACGGTGTCACCGGATAGATGTGCACATCGGATCATATGCAGTCTGCCCATGCATGCATACTAAGGCTGACATTCCCAACAGTGGCCGCAAATGCTTCGCCACTATCAGCGCTTCCGGGTTTTGTCGACGTGCTCGGGCGCAAGTTGGACAAAACACAAGCCGAACTGGATAGCTAGTGAGTGCTGGTGCATGTGCGTGGGTTAGTCGCTACACTGATGTTGCACAATCTGATGTATATAAATTCTGCCATCCAACATACATGCACTATATACTGCCAGCGTGCATATGTTGCAGGACCGCCTGATGAATGTCAACACGACGCAGTCATGTACGCTTCTAGGATGCACGAACTATACGTACGGTGTTTTCCAAGGTTTAAACCCATGTCGGATAATGCATTATTAAAAAAAAGGGAGGCCAGCTCGTGAGAACGTCTGAGGTTGGCTAAGCAGATCAAGGACTTGGTGACCAAAATGCAAGATGTCCATGACCGATTGGCCGGCCTTCTTTCCGAAGCCACTGTTCAACCCGAGACCTTTTGAAAGACTATCTAGTGTACGACTAAATCAGCTGTGCAAATACCCATCCCAACCCAATGCCTTCGCATCGATAACCAATTAAGGCAAATGAAGGCGGAGCTGCCTCAGAGTCGAGCAAGGGCAATGCTGGTTCGTCCGATGGCAAGTCGAAAACTGCCAATAAGGCACCCAAGGCCAAACCTTGTACCTAGTGGATCAGTGCGGTCCTGGCCCGAAGATGGTGTGAGCCCTTCTCCTTTCAAGTCAGGGCCAGTTGCACCGCTGTGTAAACTACTCCCTGGTGGAAACCAAGTTGTGAAGATCAGAACAGACATCGCACACACATACACCATCAATGGATACGGGAAGGACGATCTTGCAAGTGGGAAAATTTTCTGGCAGTTCACTGCTGTTTGTTGGGAGGGACCAACCTAGATCTACAGTTGGACAAAGCGTACATCGCATTCAAGGAGTGGTGCGTTTACAACAAAAAACGACATCTATACAAGCCTTTGACAAGCAACCACTGAAGATATCATCGCTGCTTGCATGGTTTTTGGCCATATCTTCGATAGTTTTTCGATTTCTGCGGTGTGCAGCTGCGTCCGCCCGTTTGGTCGCGTCTGCCCGGCTGAGGCTGAAACCATTTCCACGAGGACCGCCGCCTTGATCGGGGGCGACCAGCTGGGGGATGGGACGGAAACAATCTGACTCACTCCCGGCTACCCAGTATGAACTTACCGGTTCAATTTGCTTTTCTGTTTGGCAGTTTCTTCCAAACATCTTAGTTCAAACCTTAAATTTCACCAATTGAGGATCACTGCCGCGACGTCCTCCATGTATTTTGCTGGTGCCTATGTTCAACGAACAAGTTCTTTCGACTGATCTACGGTGAGAACCACTTGTGGCTCTCCCGAGCGACAGCACTTGAGGTTGTTCGCCACGGATGGAACATGCTCGTGTCTAGAATGCATGTTCTTAGCATGCAATGGTAGCTGGCGGCTAATTTGGGAACCCGTGCGTGTCAGGAAAGCTATCATGGATGTGCCAGTTTGGCTTCAACCATGAAGTGGAGTTGGTGGTACATACGCCCTAAGTGCCACATGATGGCGCACGTCATGACACATGTCTGCAGCAGTGTTTGCAGTACAGTAACATGCACATCCGTGAGGGTTGCACCCTTAGCTAAGTAGACCTCAAGGACGACATCCGGGGTGCCCAATGGTGCCTCGATCCTGGCTGCCTGAGCCTATTTTTTGAAATGCAGCTCAAGATGATCAGTGCATGAACTGTAGTGCCATATGAGTAGTTTATCAATAGCACACACTCTGAGGTTCGGCAGAGTTTCACGCAGCGCTAGGAAGCAACACGCTATCCAGCTAAGCTGGACCACCATCCAGCGATGCTTGATAGCCTACAAAAAGAATGGCAGGCAAACTGCTCGCTGGGCTGAGGGCCAAGAGACGCACTGTGCTAGTGCAGGCATGTGTGCGTGTGTGTGTGTGAACCTAGTTTGAGGTTATGTCCGGTGAACTTAATGTTTGCCAACTGGTCAACGCACAGAAAAGGATCAAACGTGCACTTGTCACTTTTCAGTTAAACGAGCGTTTTTCATCTCGAACGCATGTGTGTGTGTGTGTGTGTGTTCATTTGAAGGTCTATAGGCTTCTTTCTCGACCGTGAATCAACGTTCAGTTCGTGGTGCTTTCAACATGCTTCCCATCCAGGCCTCTCATGGCGCAGCGCCCTGCCACCGGCCTTTCTGCCAGCGGCCATCGAAGATCTGTTGCAGCGAGGCCAGGGGAAACTTCCGTTGGCGATCGTAGCGCACGAGGCCATTCTTCTCATACTCCACGTCGTAGAGCTGTGTACAACAGAAACCGGTATAGTCTTCTGCGTTGTAAATCGCTTGGGTGAGTCCACTGATGCGTTTCAATGCTTCCTCCATGTCCGTGGGCAGTTGCCCCTCCTTCGAGCGGCCGGCATAGCCTGCTAAGAGGTGCGAGGGGTTCAATCCATAAGGTCCTCCCAAATCCAGCGCCACTCCAGCATACTCGGCCACGAACAAGGGTTCTCCTTGGCGCCCCTCCACTAGATGTTGAGGCATGGCTAAACGATCCTTGGATGTGCTGTCCAGGAACTGGGAAGAGAATAAACATGAATATTCCCCAGCTTTGGGGATCTAAGCTTGGGGAAAATGCCAAAAATCATGCAATCCGCAAAAACCAGGCAGGGATCTGAGAACTGCTTGGGACGTTGTTCGTAGTCGTGGAAGGACCACAAGTCGGTGTCGATGTGGATCCATCCGCTGGAATCATGGACCTGAAAGCTGAAACGAACCAATATGGCCCTCTTGGGGGCAGGGGGGGAACCAAGCAGAAACCGGGAAGATGTGAATCATGTGAATGATAGTCAGAGCCTTCATGGCTGCCACGCTCCTTCCCAATCACGCCCAGCACACCTTTTGGGAAGGAAAAACTCCCGGCCACCCAGTAGCAAAAAATGAGAAAGAACCAACGAGGAACAAACGGCCTGGCCGAGGAACGGGTCGCTTTTGAAGATCCAACTGTCGGGTTTGCTGCACCACACGTCGCACGAAGCTCCGGTGCTTCTCCACCTTGCGCCGCCGCGTCTCCGCGTCGTAGCGGTGCTGGAAGCCGCCGCCCACGCCCCGGTGGTGATGCCAGCCTCGGCAGTCTCGGCCCAGCTGGAACCATGGAGCACCGGGTTATGGGGGAGGGGGAAGGGGGTGAGGGCCCAAAAGGTGTGTCACTTTGAAGAACCAGAGGGTTGTGTCCTTTCCCTCCTTTGACCTTTTCCTGGCATGCGCACAAAAAACAAGACGGAACTCACGAACCCGAATGCCACGTACTCGAAAACAAACACCCAAACAATTTTTTGACACTCTTGTAGGAGACACTTTTGTGGGACACCCTTGTAGGACACATGCTTTTCGGAAACCTTTGTGGGACACTCTTGTGCACTCTTGTGGAACACCTTGTATGACACTCACTCTTGTGGGGCAGTCTTGCGGAACACTCTTGTAAGGACACTCTTGTCGACACTCTTGTGGGGCACTCTTGTAGGACACTCTTGTGGGGCACTCTTGTAGGACACTCTTGTCGGACATTCTTGTGGGACACTCTTGCGGGACACTCTTGCGGGACACTCTTGTGGGACACTCTTGTGGGACATTCTTGTGGGACACTCTTGCGGGACACTCTTGTGGGACACTCTTGTGGGACACTCTTGCGGGACACTCTTGTGGGACACTCTTGTGGGACACTCTTGCGGGACACTCTTGCGGGACACTCTTGTTTGTCACTCTTGTGGGCTTCTCTTGTAGGACACTCTTGTGGGAAAGTCTTGTAGGACACTCTTGTGGGACACTCTCGTAGGACACTCTTGTGGGACACTCTTGTGGCACTCTTGTGGGACACCGGGACACTCTTGTCGGACACCCTTCAACGACACTCTTGTAGGACTCTGTGGGACACTGCTACTAAAGTCTCCAAAATCAACCGTCACATCTCCAAAACGAGCGCTTGGCACAAGACTTCCTCCAAAAGTCACACGTCAAGACTGCAAAACGAGCACTTCGCACGAGACTTCTTCCAAAATTCACTCGTCAAGTCTCCAAAACGAGCGTTTCATACGAGACTTCCTCGAAAAGTCACGTGTCAAAGCCTCCAAGACGAGCGTTTCGTACGAGACTTCCTCCAAAAGCCCCATCGGAGCACACACACACACACATCAAGCAGCCCTGCCAAGCAGTTTCGTGATTCCAGCCCCTCCAAACAGCGCCCGCTCACCAATGTCACAGCGACATTCACCTCCACCACAACTCGCAACCTCACGATTTCCTGCGCCTGCCACGAAAATTTACGTGTCCACACGTCTAGCATGCACAAAGTACTTCGCCTGCCACGAAATGCGACCTCCGCCACACCTAGCAACCTCACAATTCCCTGCGCCTGCCACGAAAATCGCACTTCCACACCTGAAAACCCGCGCACGAAAAGTGACAATATCATATCATGTAATAAGCTTCCACAAATTTTGCACCACGCCACACGTTTGGAATGATTTCGACCCATTCTGAGCACACTCCCACCCACCAAAATCACCATTTCAGCTGACGTCACGCTTCCATGCAAAACCCTCTCCAAACGCTTCCCCCAATGGCAGCGGCGTCGCTTGACAACGGTTGCGAACGCTGAGACAACAAGTCGCGAACAAGGCTCTGCCCCCAGACCCCCAGAGTTAAACGAGGACCCTTCGCCACGCATTCGGGAAAAAAGTTAAACAAAAAATCACCTTCTGTGAACGCGGAGGTTTTTGTTTCCAGGCGTCCGTTCTTGGGTCCAAACTCATTGAATGGCCCCCAACAGCAGATCGAAGGATGGTTGTGCAAGTCTTTCACGGTTCTCTTCCACTCACTGGTGAGCAGGTCCTGATATTCATCCGAGACTTCCCAGCGGTTTGAACAACCGCCGTTCCAATCAGGGAACTCACAGAAGACCATGAATCCTAGCTCATCCGCCAGGGAGAAGTAGAGCGGTTCAAAGACCTTCTGATGTAATCGCGCTCCATTGAAACCTATTTCCCGTGCCAACTCGATGTCCCTTCTCAAGGCCTCCACAGAGGGAGCAGTCCACAAACCTTCAGGGTAATAGCCTTGGTCTAAGACCAGCCGTAAATATTGCGCTTCGCCATTCAACAAAATCTGATCCTTGTGGATATGAATGGTGCGGAGGGCCGCATAAGAGATCACCTATCAGGCTGTTTTTTTTGCGCGGCAACTGCCAAATACCCTTTGAAAATACTACGGAACATGGCAGAACCAACCCTACAGGCTTAGAAAAGGCCTTCCTTGGACCTCAAAGGGGTGGAGGATCAAAAGAAAAACGCAGAAGGATCAACAACAACAGAAACCCAAAGAATCAAAAGAAATACACACAGTGGCCAACAACAAAACAAACAATTGCGATCTTGCAGCAAAAAAGGACAAACGATTATCAAAATATAACAAGCAAGGATCTTAAAATAGATAAACAGTAGTAGTAGTAGTAGCAGCAGCAGCAGCAGTAGTAGTAGTAGTAGTGTAGCAGGGTGGTAGTAGTAGTCGTAGTATTGGTAGTGGTAGTGGTAGTGGTAGCTGTAGTGCAAACAATGCCATGCACGTTCCATGCCAATTTCATTGCGGTGCTGTACTTAAAATAAGTCATTTTTCCGACCAACGCAGAACGTAAAAGTTGCCTTAGCCTCTCGCATCTGTCTTGGTGGCTTTCTTTCTTACTTTAATTATGTCTTTGGTTTCGTGCTGTCTAAAGAAAAGTTGTTTCTGTATTTTGTTCTTGCTGTTTTCTTTCTTTCTTTCTTACTTTCATTTTTTCGTTGGCTTCGTGCTTTCTTTCTTGTTTTTATTTTCTTTTATATATGTTTCTGTGATTTTCTTTGCGATTGCTTTGCTTTGCTTTTCTTTTCCTTTCTGTCTTTCCTTCCTTCCTCTCCTAAGTATTGTTTCCTGATGCCTGTTTGTGATTTTCTTGATCCCTACTTTGATCCCTATACTTGTTTTTTGTTGATCCACCCAGTGCTTTCGGTTCCATTCGGAACCCACCCACCTCATCCACCTCCTGCTCGTCGTCGCCCGCGGCGCGCAAAGAGAGCTTCAGTCCATACAGATGCGGCCGCTGCGGGCTCCAAAGCTGCACCGCCTCCGGCGGAATGCTGAGGCACACGGCGCTAGACGCACTATCGCCCTCGCCCGGAGGGAAGGTGCAACGGGTGGAGGCCACGGGTGGGTCCACACAGGCGCGCGTGTGGTAGAGGGTGGCGTCCAGCACCGCGGCGCGCGCGGGGTCTTCTCGGCAGATCTCCGGAAACAGGTGCAGCGACCAGCCCGAGCCGTCCGGCTGGGCGGTCATGGGTGCACGCAGCAAGTGATGCTGTGAAGGCACGGCTTCGAGCCAGACCGATTGCCAAATGCCAGTCACGTTGGAGTATAGGGTTGGTTGGTGTTTCTTGGTGGTATCATAGCCCTTCACCAGTTGCTTTCCTTGTGGCAAGCCTTGAGGTGAGACCAAGTCTTTGCACTTCACCATGATCGTGGCGTGAACATCCTCGCTCGATGGGTTTGCACTCGTTCTCCTCCTCTTCCAGCTGTGGCTCACAGCTTTGGTCACATCCCGCGTGATCCTCGTATTGCCCCCCCGGTGGTCTTTCAAGGCCTCGCCATTCACGTAGACCTGACTCCAGCTGTCGCAGGCGCCGATGTGCAAGAGGAGTCGCCGAGAGCCGTCGAACCAGCTTCGGGGCACCAGGACGTCCTTGCAATACCACAGGGCCAAGTCTTTCCGCAGGCCGGGCGCCAGAGGCGGCTCCTTCAATCCCAGTGACGCCTTCCTCTGAGCACTCAGCTGAGCCAAAGCGCCCGACAAGGGCGCTTGCAGGCAGAAGGGCACCAGAATCCTCGGATTTGGAAGCTGGAAGCTGGAAAAAAAGGGTGCCAACTATTCAGAAAGAAGATTCTGACCCAGTTCGGGTGAAAAAAGCAAAAAGCACCCGAATCCCAGAATCCCAGCCGGGCATCTCTCCATCCCACTGGCTGGGGCATCCGGCCTTGTCCTCACACACCGCGAACTTCCAGAGACCGTTCAAAGTCCACCACTTCGCTCGTGCGAACTGCGGCCGCGGCGTCTCCGGCCGAGCGGCAGACGACGCCATCGGGCCATCGGCGGCTCCGGGGGCGGCTGTGATGCTGCTGTTGCTGTCTGTGCTAGGTCAAATCTCGAGCTTCCAATGTTTTGTTTGCTGAGCCCATGTTTTCCCATGGTTATGTTTAAAATCCCCTTCTGGTGAAAATCTTTGTGTGGTTCAAGCTTCCTGGATAGCAAATCCAAGGATTCTTTCCATCCAAAGCACTGCTCGGCGTGGACTCCGGGCGTCGTGCGCCGTGGTGAAGCTGAAACGGCGCGCGGGGGAAGGAGGGTGGGCCGTTGGAGCTTGGGTGTGCTGCTTGATGTGCCGAAGCCACGGGTGTCATGGCAGTCCTCGTCCTTTCTTCGCTCACAGCTCTGCTGGCTCGCTGGGACGTTGAAAGAAATACGCTTGGGAGGACGCTTCGCCGGAGGGGCCCGGGCGGGCGCTTCGGTAGTTGGTAGCTCGTCGAGGAGGAAGAGATTGTTCAGAATCCACACCAAAAACCAAACCCCCCCCCCCAGAAGTGGAAAAGTCATAGCATGCGTTGGTCAGAAATGGCAGCTGTGAACGCATGCAAGTCTAAATTCCATGCGTTTCGACTTTCATCCTCTTCGGCGAAGCGGAGTTTCAGCTGAATGAGGCAAGGTGATTCAGTCCTCAAGGTTGCGTTCTTGGCTGAGCCCACGGGCCCGGGCAAAGCCAGCTCAAAGTCCATTGCCTCTCTGAAGCCTTCTGTTCCTAATGTTTCTGTTTCTGATCGGAGGGATGTTTGTCCTGGACGATCCTTAGAGCTGGTTCCGAACATTGGAACTGCATGGAACATGGTATTTTGCTGGCCCGCTTCGACCGCCGCATCCATTCCCAAAAGAACGGATGCCTCGGTCTCTTCAACTCACAACCTTTGTCTTTCGGCATTTTAGCCAAAAAGGGTCCAGGGTTACACAGGCTGATCGACTCTGATGTCGCAGATCTGGCACGCATCCCTCGTGTCCTTCAAAGCCGAGCATGCTCGCAGTCTTCTATTAGATGGTCTGAGTTAAGGCGCGACGACGTGAGTGTGCTAAAAAAAAAGGGCTGCGATCCAGGGGCTTTTGGGGGGCTTCCTTGGTGCATCCAACAAGGAAGCCCAGAGCGCTCTGAGTACTGCAGATGGTTTCAGTGCCTCCCAGGGGTGGGACGTTCCACATGGCGAGTCTCCGGAAGTTCCAAGAAAACGACCCCCTTAAGGGAAACCACTGGCTGCAAAGCCGAAAGAATCATAACACTGGCTACAAGAGCCTGTGATACTGATCTGCTGTGCCTGTCAATTTACCTCTTTGCATCCCCGCTATGTTGGCATTCTACTTTGGCAAGGTCGAGTTCGATCAGTCTTAGCCTTGCTAAGCGATTCTCTAGCAGGCTTCAATTGCAAGTCAAAAAGGGTCGCTTCACCGTCGTCGCCTGAACACGAACGCAAGGAAGACGACGAGCGCAGAAATATGCGAGTGGTGGGGAGAGTGATGTGAGTGTTTTCGGTCGATCTATGACTGTCGATCTATGCTTGCCTCAAAAATCTAGGCTTTTGGAAAGGCCTTTTGGGAAACCTCACCCCACCACCGGATGCTGAAAACGTCAGATTTGACCAAACTCACCTGCTCGAGTCCTCTCGCCTTTCATGCCAAACTTCGCGACGAGCGATGCGTCCTCCTGGGCTTCTCGTCCGTCGCGTCCGAAGGGCCAAAGTGAGTTCCGACGTTCGGTTCCGCCCGAAACGTCAACATGTCGGTTTTGTTCTTGGAACCTGCTACAAGGTTTTGTTATGCTGTGACAAATATGCTTTTCTTGCGGCAGGCCCCATGTCTATAAAAAGATCTCCACAAACATCATGCGTTGCTATCTCTCACTATTTTGCTGCTCACTTGAACGAAATCAATCAATTGGTACCTACATTTGAACGGTCCTACCGTACGCCTGGCATGCGCAGCATACGTCGCACGCGCCGCGCCCAGTCTGTGCCATGAAGCAATACTGGCGAGGCCAAACGATGACTGGCCATGACTGGCCCTGACTGGCTGCATCCTCAGGAAGGAGGCAAACCAGGCAAAGGTTTTCCTTCCTGTGTCTTCCACAAGTTTGTCCCTGTTTGACCGACGAAATGTTGTCTCACTCTGAAAGGATGAACTTCACATCATCAGGTGCAAAAAAAGCAGGAACACAATGGAACACATCACCAAGCTTCATGAGTGGTACACGTGGTGCACCACGTGATGCACGGTATGGAAGCTGCCACCGGAATGGAAGCTGCCACCGGCATGGAAGCTGCCACCTGCCGCTGCAGCAGCTGCCGCTGCGCCGGCACCTGTCAAGGACCAGCTCGAAGCACACGCGATGCGCCTGCTGATTCGCTCGTACGTTGTTTCAGATGGTCAGAAGAAGCTAGTAGTAACAAGTGCATCGCTAGTAGTAACAGGTGCATCGCTACTAGTAACAAGAAGCTAGTAACTTATCTTAATGCTTGTTTCTACTAGCTTATTGTTTCTACTAGTAAGGCACTTGTTACTAGTAGCGATGCACTTGTTACTAGTAGATCAAACAGCGGAAGAGAAACTCTTACACGAGTCTGTCCGGCATAAGATTCTCTCCGTTTCTCTGTCATCCGCACATGCTGCAGTAACTTTCCCTTGGCGCCTCCGTCTCCACAACCCAAGTGCTGATTGCTGCAACACCAAGACTGCGGCAGGAAGCTGGTGTGGTTTTTCAGGGGCAATGAAAATCACAGCTAGTGGATTCCACTCAGGGAGTCCTCTGAGGCTGTGCTTACAAGTTCCTAGTCGCTGCTTTCAGATTGCAGTGGCTCTCGGATTTGGAGATGTCAATGGTGCACAGCTCTGAAAGCTCCCTCGCCACTTCATGCAGAAGCGATGACTTCCAACCTAATAGCGATGGCCTCCACCCTAAGAGCAATGGCCTCCAACCTACTAGCGATGGCCTCCACCCCAAGAGCGATGGCCTCCTGGCCTCCAACCTACTAGCGATGGCCTCCAACCTGCTAGCGATGGCCTCCAACCTAATAGCAATGGACCAATGATGTACACTGGCTCTGAAAGCTCCCCTGCCTTCTTTGGACCAGACCAACCGATTTGCCAGTTGTTGAGCCCTGCATGGCAATCATATGGGAGCTTCGTGTGCACTCCGCCAGCTGCATGAACAGTCTGCCAGGTCCAATAGCCGTTCACCTCCAATCCAATCAAAGTCAGCATGGCTTCACGCATGATGCACGCGAAGAACGACAATAACAAGCAAACACTGTATATAATTTGAAAGCCACGAGGCAATCATCTAAGACCAGCCTGCACGTGCTTCCAAATCATGCCGAAGCCAGGATCCACACTCGGTGGGCTGGAGCCTTCGCAACCTTTGCCCCGCTTGGTGCAGCACCAATGCTTCTTCTCTGGTGACCATGCCTTTGTTGGCACTCAAAAACACTCGGAACATCAAACATGCTAGTACCCACTTTCAGTCCATGCAACGGCGTGCCATGTTTTCTTGGTGGCGCCAAGTTGCGCGGAAGAAATTGTTCAAAGCCGCATTGCAGTCGAAGGGGTCTTGACCAACAGCATGGACTGAACAGCCTGCTTCCTGCAAACATAAGGTCGGGACAGGTTTGGCTTATGAGTCTGTGTCTGTCCGAGGTCATGGATGATGAGATGTGCACAATTTTTCACTCTGCCACCCCATCCTGGATGGAGCATCCTCGGCAAATGTCACACTCCACCTGCACCTTGCTGTAGGCCAACTCGCAGCCGTTGGCCTCGTTGCAACATGCGGATCCCTGAAAATCGATCTGAAATCGATCTGTGGGCCTCGAGAGGAGTGTCATGGTATCTCCCATTCCCTCCAGTGGATGGTGAGCAAACCGTTTTTCTCAACCAAACCGTTTTCTCATCCTCTTCACTGTTCGACGGTGCCGGACCAGAGTGTCCCCAGGCACCAGGACCGGAACACTGATTTCATCGATCCACGTGTCTCTTCCACCGATCCACCGGTGAAGGGTCTGGTCGCTGTGGCGCGCGCCTTATTGCCAAAGACGTGCTCTTTCGTCCAATGGATGCGATCAATGCACTTGGACGTCTCCCCTGGGCGGCCGCTTCGTCTCTCACGGCGCGAAGTGACGATGTGTGGACATAAGGAGTGAAGGACGGACCGTTCGACTTGACACAGTATGCATGGAGTCTTCGAAGACTCCGGTGAATCACCGGTCGACCTTCCAAAAACGGCACGTCTGTCAGCCCACCAGCTGGGGCCTCTACCCGAGCTGGATCCCATCATGCGGTGCAGAACACACCAGCCGGAGTCGCGTGCAGCTCGCGGAAGTCGCGGAATCGCTCGCGCCTGCGTGAGTGCAGCTCGCTTGGCATTTCAAGGCCGAAAGAGTCGTGTGAGGGCAGCCTTTCTGGAAGTTCTCGCGGCACCTGAGAAGCTCCGAAACGGGGCGTCCGAAACGCATCGACGAGACCGACCGCCGCACCGACTGCCGTGTCTGCGGTCAAGCGACCAGGATCGTTTGTCTGCAGCCCAGGCGTCTTCCTCGGGAGAGGTGTGGCTTCAAGTCAAGCCAGGTAGTAGCAAACATACTGACATGCTCCAACGAAAAGGAACCAAGAAAAAAAGAACAGAACGATATCCCGATCCAACCGCCCACCGTCCGCCGAGCCACCCCCCCAGCAGTGCAATGGAACTTCACGCAACCCCTGCTTTGATGATGGCAGCACCAATCCTTCTTGGAGTCCGACCAGCCGGTCATCCAACGCGAGAAGCCCGCGTTGCAGTCGTAGATGCGACCCTGTGCATGTCCCACTCCATGAGCGAAGCTGTGCACGTGAAGGTGATAGCTGCCATGCCAAGATCCAGGACATCCCATTCTCATGTTGTCACAGCACCAAGACTTCTTGTTCACAGACCATCCAAAGTACCAGTTGGAGAAACCGGCATTGCAGTCATAGTGGAACTCAGGCCGGGGAGGTGGTGGTGCTGGATCGTGCTGGACGATGACATGAGGAGGAGCTTGCACGTAGTGGGTCTTGTAGACCACGCGGGTCTCAGGGCGCATGGGCACGGGCACATGGAAGATGTGTCCCGGTTGATGATGCACATCCCTCACGTGCTCGACCACCACTCGGTCGCGGGGCGTGTGGTCAGGACATCCGCGTCCATACTTGTCGCAGCAGAAGGCCTGATGCGACGGGTTCCAGAGGTTCTGCCAATCGTGGAGTCCGGTGAAGCAATCCGGTTCTTCGATTGGGTTGGAACCAGGAGCTCGATGCAGGTAGTGATACAGGAGCACGCCTCAACACACGATGGGCAGCGAGGTCGTAAAGAGCTAAGATTGGCGGATGGTTTTTCGCGCTCTTCGGATGAGAAAATCCACATCCGAAGACCAAAGATGGTCTACTTCCACGGCCCTATTTCGGGGAGCTGGCTGCCAAACCACCTCGTCCTTCCCAAAAACCAGCTGGCAGAACACCACGAACCCGAATTCACCTCCCCGCTCACCGCTCACCACGCTGCTCACCGCTTCGCTCGACGCTTCGCGTCCGCGCTTCGCTCGCGCTTCGCTGCGCGCAGCGGACCGAATCCAAGGCACCCAGGATGGAGAGGATGGCCAACGCGATCAATCCGATGCAGCAGACGCGGACCCTGCGCGGTGCGGGTGTTCCGTGAGCCGTGAGCCGTGAGCCGCACGGGGGGCCGCACAGGCGGTTTTGGTGCCCTCTTCTTACGGGAACAGTTCTTGTGCCCCAATTCGAACTGGCAATGGATTCCTAACGACGCTTGGGAGGGTTCAGAACAAGCTCCAAGCCACCGAAGACGCCTCTGGAGAAATGGACTCATTTCCTCCATCCCCGAGAGAGGTGGCGATTGCTCCAACACGTCCCCGACCGGACGCGCCCACAGTCGGAAGAACACAGGTCCAACTGGACGCGCCCCCGGTCGTCCATACCGTCGACACGTTCGGACGCTCGGACGTTCGGCTTTTTGGGCTGACACCCAACACGGACCGATCCCTACCCTCCCATCAACGTCCAGTCGTCCGGCGTCCAGCCGTCCGGCGTCCAATCCACTGTAGCAGTCCGGTCTGAACATGGAGGCCATCGCCAGTTGGAGGCCTATGAACTTCGACGGTTTAGGCCACCGAGACCCTGGTGCTTGCGGGTGCTTGCTTGGTGGGACGTGGGTGCGGGACGGCCTTCCGGGCCCTGCGGACGGCCTCCAAGCACCGTAGGACACTGAGACCTGCTTCTCCAAGTTGCCCTTTCCTGGGTCGATTTGACCGTCATGATCTCCCTATCCCAGACACGACTAATGGGACTGCCATAGGACTGCCGAGCGGCATCTGTAGCATACATGGAGTGTCTGGGTGTACTACTTAGTACGTTTAACGTGCGAAGTGATCAAGAAATGGAACTCTGAGGAGAAAATGACCCTGTGATGTCCATCTCCACATGTCCCACATCTTCTGAAGTATGCGCATCCATCTTGCCAAAGTGCCACCACCGACGTATTCCACATTGGTCTCCTCACTGCGGGCCGACGGCCCCGGACGTAGGGATGAGGGATGGGACGACACCTACCGACCGGAGAAGTCAAGGTCGAGCATGTTTGGAAGGGTTTGGTCTGGCTTTCTAAGGTCAAAGTCCTGAGCAAAAAAAGCCCAAGGAACATCCCTTACAGCTAGAAACAGGCTGTTTCCTCTGAAAAAGAATTGGTCGCAAACCATAGGTCGCTTCAGGCTGATGCAACGCCGTTGACGGCGGATGTCATGTCCTCCTTTCACCTGCGGAACCTGCTCCGGGCGAACTGGGAGTCAAAGACCATAAAAAGAATGGTCTGACTCGGTGACCCGAGTCTAGGAATTTCCTTTACTTCAGTCAGTCAACATATAGTCTTTGGACTTCTAGGTATATATAACATATAAATACTCCAACCGTGTTCTTGGACTTCTCCCCGCCTCGACTGCCCCACGACTTCCGACTGCCCGGTGCTCCTGGGAGTAGGAGCCGCGGCCCTCGCCCACGTAGGCCCAACGCTCCTGTGTTTGCACCGCACTCGGGTCACCTGGCAGAAGCGGAGCGAGCGCGAGCGCGGTGAAAAGAACAAGGATCGCGGTGCGAGGGACGCAGTGAGTTCGATGGAACGGGAATCCTTGCAGGTGGACGAACTGAAGATCAACTTGGAGCCGTTTTGGAAAACGCTCTCTGCCAATCGGTCACTTCAAAACATGCTCCAAGCGTAAAGACGTCCATATTATAAAGGTGAAAGAAACGGAGGAAAAAGGGAAAAACGATACGGGTCTAATTATCAAGAAACGTTTGAAACGTTCTATTCTCTTACTTTGCTCGCTGCGCGCCTTCGAAGCAAACCTGGTAGCAGCCCAAGTCCCCCTCGACACTTCCCTGAACTGCACCTGGCAGGGAAAAACGAAAGAAAACATCGGTTTTTCACATGTTTGGCGAGCGCTTGGGTCATCCCAGATCCCAAACTCGCGTTGCGAGTCGACCGGTGAACCAAGTCGTGCGACCCGTCGCCATGGGCCAGCTGCAGATTAGCTACTAATAGAGATGCCCTTGTTACTAGCGATGCCCTTTGCGACTAGTAGCTTCTTGTTACTAGTAGCAAATGCTGTTCCTTTCCTTTAGTCAAGACTTGTCCAAACTTGCACTTTTACGGTTTCAGAGTAACATCGCCCCCTAAGTTGGGTAACCATGGACCTGGATCTAAAGGACATCTTGATGTCTGAGCCGTCGAACCTCCGAAAGCACTGGATATTCCCTTGCTATATGTACGTACCTCTTGTTCGTCTTTGTTCAAAATCTACGCCGGTTCACCGGCTGTTCTTTTTCCGCAAGGATCCACCACAACGAGGGAGTATATGTCTCTGTGTGGTGCCCTTTATCGTCCCCACTGGTCGTTGATGTCTCTTTAGGCCTCCAAACCCGTATATGTCATTTCTGGTTTTCTTCCCTTCCCTTCCCTTCCCTTCCCTTCCCTTCTTCCTTTCTTTCTTCAAACTTTAGGCTTTCCTTTTGCTAGCCCTTCTACTCCATTTCTTGACATGAGACTCCTACATTATAGTTCCAAATGGTCATGGCCATTAATAACTCCCAACAAGTGCCAAATACCTTTGAACGAAGAGTAAAACTAAGCTAGCACTTGGAGCTTCGAACTGGTGTCACGTTTGGACGATCTCGACCTCGCGGGTCAGGAAGGTCCACCCCGAAGCGAAGCTAGCGGTGGCCAAGCCGAAGCCCGTTACTCGTTACCGAGCTCGTCTCCTTTTTGTCCCATCCCGCCTTGGACCATCGCGGGAAGAAAACTCACTCGGAGCGGCTCGTTCGGAGTTCGAAGTTTCTGAGCTCGTTAGAAGCTGCAGTCAGAAGCCAGGGCCGCAAGGGGTTTGGTTTGGGGGTTCCATGATGTTCCATGCCATGTGGATCAAGAATCAAGGTCGTTATTGAGGTCACAAACGAGATGCTTGCGGCCGTTGTCCCTTCCGGCAGAAGGAGGGGAAAAGAACGAGGTCAGACGAGCTCAGAGAGTGCTTGGCTCGGTTTTTCTTCGATCGCGGAAATCGCATTGGATCCATCAACGGTCTTTCTTCCATGCCGCTTTTCGGCGCTAATGGCCTGCTCTGCCACAAATCCCTCCCTCCCCAGGGGGGGCCGGGGAAAACCGAGGTCGCCGGAAACCACCGAGGTAGAAAAAACAGCTGGACCACATACTCAGCAAGCTCGCCAAATAGCCAACAAACCAGATTAGCTCACCAAATGGATCCAAATGGCCCTTCACACCCTTCCTGCGACCCCTTCTCCGGCCTCCCCCCAAAAAATAGGTCTCCGTTCCCCCCCCTTTCGGAAGCATCATTCCGAAGGTGTGAGGGGGGGGGCCGGACGAAAAGCCGACGCCGCCCACATCGTCCGTCCTGGGCCGTGCAGGGACACGCATCGGTGCCGCGGTGGGTGGTCCCCCCCTATGTCCCATCCGGTTCCACTCCTGGTGCCACGCGGTCATCTTGGAATGGAAGGACTCCCTCTCGATCGATCTGGGAATGCATTTGTCCCGCGAAGTCCGGGTCTCTCGATGCTCGTCGTCCCTCTCCTCTCACCGTCCAAGGGTCAACATGTCTTTCGAACGGACGGCGGACGGCGAGCGTTAGGCCACATCGCAGGCACGTACTCGGGTTTTTTGATACTCGGGATGCTCAGAATCATTCAGAGAACATCTCAATCTAACTGCCTCTCTCAAAACGTCGAACATCATGAACATCCACATGGCGACATCCTGCGACATCATGCTACACCATCACACCTCTTCAATTCAAAAAAATGGAACCAAGAGAGAGTTGCAGGGAAGAGCTTTAAGGGAAGAGTTGTGGAGTTGATTGCAGTTGATTCGGAGTTGATCTTTGAATGACCTGCTCTCAAGACCCGGTGGTCTTTTTCTTCTGTCTGTTCTGGAGGGGAGGGTGCATGATGATTTCAGAAGTCGTCCGCACACGGGGGGGCTGGGCTTTTGACACGAAGCTGCGCCGAGTTTCAGTGGTACACGTGATGCACCACATGATGGACGATGTGATCCCCACCGTGGTTCCAGCTGCCGGATTGGACATCCGTGGCAGCACCTGCAGCAGCTGGGGGATAACACACTGAGCGAGCGAAGAGCATGCATTTCACTCTCTCTCTCTCTCTCTCTCTTTCACTCGCCGTCGCCTTCAATTGTTCTATGATATGCTGTTATCGCAAGCTGTTTCAAGGTGCAGTGCTCAAATGCCTTAAAATGCCTAAAGTTAAGTTTAAAAACCAGAACAAAATCTCAAGGACATCTAACATCTAACCCAACAAACCTGCACAAGTTCAGAGCGTTTGAACGCTTTCGACTTTCGTCTCTTTCGACTCCAGCAATCCTCCACAGCCCAATTGCTGATGGCTGCAGCACCACGACTGGCGAAACCGATCGTTCCGAAGCGATGAAAAGAACACATCGAAAAACGGGCGCCAAAGGATGACCAAGGGAGGCTGTTCTTGGGAGTTAAGATGAGAAGGGGATGAACAGCATCAACATGGACATGGGCTCCGACCGAAAACTGTTGCGGTGTGGGCACGGCCGTCTGTCGGGTCGCACCCGCTGTCTGTCGTTGGTTCCGGTCGCACCAACCAACAACGGCACCGGTCGCAACACCGTCATGCGTCTCTCAGTGCGTCTCTCAGCGCCTCCCGGGAGGCCGAAGGGTCAACCCACCCGGCGGCCGATGTCTTTGAGTCCGACTTCCCCAGTCCGGCGGTGGAAGCGCTCCGGTGGCGAGAACATCGAGTGAGAACTTGACCCGGATTTTTCGGAATCCGGGCTTTTTGGAGGAGTTTTTGGTCCGTCCCCTTCCTCGGAGTGAAAAAGGAGGCACCCCTCACGTGCAGTTGGTCATGCAGTGGGTTCAGAGTAGATGGCACAATCCACAAGTTTGTTGGTTTGCATGGACCCCCACGACACCACGTGTCGTTCCGGGTTCGCCTGCTCAAGACGGGTCATTTTCCGGTGATGTCCGGCCGGTGGAAACCGGGTGGTCTCGTTTCCGGCGATGCCAACCTAAGAGGTCAGAGTATCTTCCAAATCTCCCCCGCCTTCTTTGGACCAGACCAACCGCTTTGCCAGTTGTTGAGCCCTGCATGGCAATCATATGGGAGCTTCGTGTGCACTCCGCCAGCTGCATGAACAGTCTGCCAGGTCCAATAGCCGTTCACCTCCAATCCAATCAAAGTCAGCATGGCTTCACGCATGATGCATGCGAAGAACGACAATAACAAGCAAACACTGTATATAATTTGAAAGCCACGAGGCAATCATCTAAGGCCAGCCTGCACGTGCTTCCAAATCATGCCGAAGCCAGGATCCACACTCGGTGGGCTGGAGCCTTCGCAACCTTTGCCCTGCTTGGTGCAGCACCAATGCTTCTTCTCTGGTGACCATGCCTTTGTTGGTTGGCTTGCTGGTGTGGCATCACACTCAAAAACACTTAAAACATCAAACGTGCTACCCAATTCCAATCCATGGAACGGCATGCCATGTCTTCTTGGTGGCGCCAAGTTGCTCGGAAGAAATTGTTCAACGCCGCATTGCAGTCGAAGGGATCCTTGCCAGCATGAACTTCACAGCCAGCTTCCTGCTTCACATCCGGTCAAGCCAAGTGTTTGGGCACATGTTCTCCTGATTCTCCTAACAAGTCCAGTCATGACTCATTGTACACGTGTCTGCGCTCACGTGAGCGCTGACACGTCGTGACTAACCCCACTGGGGTCGTTCACGTGTGAACACTGTGTTGAATATAGAGTCCCTCGCACCTGGATCGAGCAGCCACGACACACGTCACATTCGACCTGCACTCGGCTGTAGGCCAGGTTGCAGGCAGCTTCCTGGGGAAAGAGACGCATCTGCGTCTGCCCCAACGCCATGAGTTGGAGCGAACTCAAAGGCCTACCAACTGGCTCTTTTCCAACGAAAACGCGGCGCATCCAGTTTTGGGTGGAGAAACGGCACCTTGCCCGAGTAGGTGTTCTTGGTGACCCATTGAATCCGTTCCAGGCAAGTACTCGTCTGTCCTGACCGGCATGCCATTCGGCGCGTGCGGCGGCCATTCGGAGAGAAACCGAAGATGTCGACGATTCTTTTCCGTTGTCAGATACCATCTATCTGGCAGAGAGGATGCGCTGAATGGATCGGAATGGGTTTTTGGTGACGTCCTTGATCTTGCTGCATAGCTTAGCCTTGCAGAGCCTTCCCGTGCTTAGCCTTGCCGAGCAGAACCGCCCCGGGTTCGTTATGAGTTTCACGTCCCGACGCGTCCGGCTCGACGGTCCCGAGGGTCCCGACGGCCCGTCCTTTCAGTGTGCAGGGCGTCTTGCACTTCAAGGGAGACAAAGTGGTGCGTGGACAACCTCCCGAGAGATGGATTCGAGCGCCGGTTTCCCACATGGCACGGGGCACGGGCGGATCGGTGTGCATGTGATGTCCCCGAACTTCTCCAGCAAAAAGAGAAACGCTCTTAATGGTGTTTGTTATATATATATATACATATATGGTTCACATCAACATGCCTGAGCTGGACACTAGATCCATTTCTGTGTGCCCTGGAGCTCAGATCATTTGCAGTGGACATGTGGTGCCATCATCAAAGCTGCATGTGTTCGATTTTGCCAAATCGGCCTCCATCCACTTCCGCCCTGAGCTTGACTGCACATTTGGGTGGGATTGCACGCATCTTTTTTGTGGTGCGTTTTGCGGCTGGAATCAGGCCACCGAGTGGCTACCGAATGCCGGCTTTGGATTTGCAGTGGGCCGACAGGTCTTTGTAGACATTGATGAAACTGTCCTGCAACTGTGTAGCACCAAGCACAAGATGGAGATGCTTCGATGCCCCCTCAAACCGAGTCAGCCGTGGAATCCAGCGAGCAAGATTGCACTCCTGGGCGATGTGGGTGACCCCACCATTCCATTCGCCCACAGATGCCAGGTGAACCTGATGTGCACGCTCTCGCCCCCATGTCAATCATGGTCGAAAGGAGGCAAGTCCGGAGGCCTCTTGGACGAGAACGGCTGGTCCTTCGTGAAAGGCCTTGAGCAAACCTTCGCCTTACAGCCGATAGTGGTTTGTGCAGAATGTGTGGACGAATTGGCTTCCCACACTCATTTTAAACTTGTACAGAGCCTTGCAGCTATGTTCGGGTTTAGATTGCTGTGGTCACAGATCGTTCCGTATCACGAGCTTGCTAACCATTTTCGCTCCAGATGGTTAGGTGTATGGGTTAGAGGCGACACCTCCGCACAGCCACTTGGATTTGATTTGCCTTGTTCCATTGCACCCAGGGTCCCATGGAATGATGACAGATATCAATTCCAACTTCCGAAAGTGTGGCAAGACCAGATTCGCTTGAGCCAGTCAGAAGCTGCCATTTACAATGATCCACGCTTGCTTCCTCCGGCAAAACGTGCCAAAATCGAAACCTCAGATCAACTGGATGCAGTTCTACGAGGCCGTGTTGCGAATCCGAACGAACCGTTACCTACACTTTGTGCCTCGTACTCAGTCCAACATACTCTTGCTCCCGCTCATTTGCAAAGCAAGGGTATTTTCGCAGTTCTCAAGCATCAAGAGGGAACCTACTGCTTCCTTGACCCTGCACATTTCTGTAGTCTCTTTGGAGCCGTCTATGAGCTACTGTTGCCAAGCAAGTTATCGCTGGCCTTCAAGATTGTTGGCAACGCCATCACGGTTCCACATAGCCTCTTGTGCATGTGTGTTGGGTTGTATGCCATCCTTCCAGAAGCAATTGACCCAGTGTGTGTCATGCGAGAAGCTTGGGAGCATCGATTGACTGCTAGGACAGCCGTCCTTTTCGAGCAAGGCCCTTTCGTTCGACTTGTGCCCATTGCCTCTGTTCGTCAGCTCTTGACAACTAAGGTCATCCTACCTGGACAAGGTGAATGGCGTATCCTGCTTACGACCGAAAGTGGCATCATGTGTGAAGCCCGTGCAGCCTCCATCGCCTCCCTTGTCAAGGTTCTTGAGAATGAGCTTGGGATTCCTCTGGGTATTCTCCACCAATGCTCACTGCATGCAGGTGGTCGTGTGTGCCCTTCCTCCTTGAGCATCCGAGAACTTGCTGCCATTGCCGAGAAGTGGAAGCTACAAATTGGAACCTTGTGCATTGCTGAGTGTTGCCTGGCCTTGCAGCCTCTTCATCCGCCGCCAGCTCCTGCCATGATCCATGACACATCCTCGGCAACGGCACCCATTCTCAACAGCGGTGTTTCTGCCATTCCGGTGACAATTCCGGGTACAATCGAAAGTTTTGGTCGACAGGAGGTCTTTGTCAACATGCTCGAGGTCTTCAAACCCATCGCTTTTGTCAAAGGCAAAGCTGGCTTCAAGGTCTACATTGTGCATCATGCGTTGCCTGGAGCTTTGCAACTCAGGTGTGACCAAGCTAACTATGATGCTCTCCTCGCTGGTCTGCGACGCCTCACCGCAACCAATGAACGATTGGTCTCTACGCTGGCCTTTGATTATGAGGAAGACGTCAGTGCTCCTTTTCGAGTCATTCACATCTTCGATGTCCCCAGCATTGATGTTGTGACTGCTACTGTCTGTATCCCTCCTGAGGAACATCTTGCACATGTTGAAGTTGTCGCCACTGACGGGATCCTGCCAACTTTTTCTTACAAGGACACCCTGCATGAGGTTGCTCAAATCAACGGAGTACCAAGTGAACAACACATCGGCCCGCTGCAGCATGGCTCCTTCCTCAGCCTCCGACGATGTGATGAGATTCGTGCAGGTGGGCATCACCTGGCTTCTGGTGCGACTCCTACTCTTCGGGCTGGAGCCGATTTCCAGGCTAGAGCAGAATATATGTGCATCACCCATGGATGGATTGCTGCAGATGAGTTATGGAGCATCACCCAAAACATCATGTTCATGCAGGACACGTGCAAATTCACAGCACCGGTGTATTGGAACCAGCAGGATTCTGATTTCACGTTGTCGCCCTTTGGGGAACTCTTCCTCTTCAACAACACGACCAATGTGATTTGTGTCTTGATTGACGACCACTGGGCTGCAATCGAGATCTGCAGGTCGGCTGATTCAGCGCACTTGACATTCGTGCAAATGCCGCAGCACCTCCAAAATGCTGCCACCTGTGTTGTTGCGAGGCTTTTAGATATCGCTCCACACAGGCTGACTACATCCAGTGAGCATGAAGCGCACTTGCCCCATCTCTGCGGTTGGAGATTAGTACAAAGGTGGGTCCAAAGGTTTGACCTCGAGAACGAGTTTCAACCTGAGACGTTTGCTGGAGTCGCAGATCGCTTCCATGATATCATCACAATGACTATGGAATGTGCACTGGAAGATTGGAGGACATACAATGCTCCGCAACCATTGATTCGTCTGGCTGCCCTCCTGCGTAAGAAGTTCCTGATCTTTTTGGCTCGTCGTGAATCGCAGCAGAATCCGATCCCACAGAAAGCGCTCCTGGCAGCCTTCCCTGTGCGATTGCAACCTTTGTCCTCTGCAGTTCCCTCTCTGCCGCCTACAGCTGAGGAAGTCGCTGCCGAACGAGTTGCAGCCAGATTGGAGCACATGCTTACTTACAGTGGTTGGATGGCCTCAGATGAAATGGACTTCTCCCTCGATGTTGCCCGAGTCATCCAACCTGGGACGCTCTTTTGCGCACCGGCCATTTGGAATTTGACCACGCGCGTCCTTGAGTTCCCCAATGGCTTGTTCCCATGTTATGGCACTTACGACCATGTCATTTGGATGGTCATCCACAACAACCACTGGCTCCAGTTTGAGTGCTACCGGAGGGGAGCTGATTCAGTCTTCATTGCATCAGTCCCGGTTCACCAGCGAGGCATCTATGTGCCTTTGATCCAAGAGTTGCTACGACAACTTGGCCTCAACCACCAGAGCATCGCCATTGATTTTGTCGACCAGACAATGCCACGTGATCTCTGTGGCTACTATCTGTTGGCGAACATCTTCTACCGGCTTGGCCTACTGACTCCGCCTCCTCTTGATGTCCATGACCACTTCCTTGCACAAGGGCCTTTTGCATTCCTGATCGCTCGTGTCCGCCGAGAAGCCAGAAATACATGGATCAGAGCTGAAGGCCTTCCTGACTTTGCAGTCTTCGCTGCCAACATTCGGGATTGGTATCTGCTTCGTGTGAAGTCCAACCGCTTTCCGGACATTTACTATGCTGCAGGGGCTATCCAAGAGATGCAAGTCGACCCTCAAGTACCACCACAATCCGGCAATGCATCAGCCCCCAGTCGCGCTGCGGGACCTTGTGCAGCTGCCAAAGGTGTCGATCCTGTCTGGGTCAATGACCCTTGGGGGCGCAAACCCCCACGACCAGCTCAGTGCAAGTGGGAGGATTTGCAGATACAACCTGAGATCCCCTTTCTCGGCTCGGACGGGAATGCGTTGCAACAAACACACAGATTGCAGGTTGGACCAAATCGAGGAGGCATTGTGCTGTTGACCAAATCCTTCTTACCGGATGTCTCCAAGCAGACTGGCAAACAAGACTTGGCTGTGCTGCTTCCAGTCACGGACAACATGCACCTCCCTCATTTGGCTGCAAAGATCGAAGGCCCTTACGAAGTTGCAATGTACGATGAGGCAGCCAAACTGTCATACAAACGGCTGACCAATCTGATTGTCCTCCAGGGCAAATGCACCTTCAAACTGCCAGAACCCAAGTGCAAAATCACCACCCAGGCAATGTGTGAGCTTGTCCTCGAAGTCGATTCTCGCTTGTGCACCAAGATTGAGCTCGAGAAGATTAGGGAAAGTCCGATTGCCGCTTTTCGCGACCTGGTCTCCAAGATTGTCACAGCTCTGGATTCTGCAATCGTGCTCTATGGATTCCGCTCTACGACACATCCGGGAGCTTCCAAAGGTGACACCATCCTTCAGTGTATCATCAAGGCGCCCCAAGCCCTTCGTGTACCACTCCTGGAAGCAAGCGGTGCATCCATTCTCCTGGTGAGGGACTTTCTGGAACGTGGACAAGCATCATCGGACACAACGATCCTGCCACGGTTTTGGACCACAAGCATTTCTGAGCTCCACAGCATGCGGATTGCCCTGAAAGATGCCCCTGGCCAAGCTGGCATCATCGTTGCAAGGAGAGGGCTTGCCCCACGCGTCTGGATTGCCAAAGTCAGTGAGGCGAGGAAGACACTACTTGCGGCAGATGGCAGGATCGTTGAGGCCAACCGCCACGTCATCCCGAGACTTGTCTATGAGCTTGCAGGCTGGCCGGCTGGCACAGATGCAGCCAACATTGTCCAATCCACCATCGACTCGACTGGGGTCGCTGTATTGCCAATGAGGACGTTTCGCAATGCTGGAGTGCATGTCTGG